CAATGTTGTTTGATCTTGAAACCTCATCAAGAGTTGTGGGTTGTATGTCACAACAATTCGATTATCCAACTCGATATTCTTTTTCATTATATTGTGGTGACCTCTAAGGTTCTTCTTTTGTATATCAGGTAGTTATTTCCATCAAACGATGTCTTATCAAGAAATTTTTTGGGAAAATGTTTCATAAATTTATCATTCTCCATATATAGAGATCTAGGATCATTTATGCTACATGGATCATGCATCAATAATCAAGTTACGAACTCATAAAATCTAGGATATTTATCTTTATTATGAACCTCTACACATGTCACACGATCAATTGACTCAAGCGATTGAAGTTTATCCCTCTAGTGTAACCATATTTAGATATGTACATGAAGCAAACTTCTCATTTGAAATGCAACAGTGTACAAACATGCACAAAATCATTACATTCAAATGACAATATTTTAAATTGAATGTCCATTTAAATTGTTTTTTATTATACAATATCAAATATTTAAACAACTTAATTTTTTTTATGTTATATACCATTTAAATTTCACACACACACACACAAAATCTAGGTTTACTAAATTATTACAAATATATAATTCTTCTCACCCCCTGAATTCAAAAAATATACGACAAAAACATTGGCGGATTTTATTATTCTTCTCCCCTGCATTTATTTAACAAACTTAGATTTCCGATCTTGTAATTTTAATATAAAAAAATCATGATTCTTCTCCGCCAGATTAATTTACATTAACGGAAATATATGATTTTAATTTCTATGATGTATTAATGTGATTCTTTCTCTCCTTGGCCCTTTGCACTAATTAAAAATTGAATCTTTTTTCTTGTATTATTAAAAGTGGGAAAACATAAATTAACAATCATATGATAAGAAATATAAATTTTACAATAAATTAAAAATATAATGATTATTCTCCCTCGTATTATTTCAAAAATTATGTGAATGCAAAAAAAACATTAGTCATTCTATGATTTTAATGAAATTTTAAAAAAACTATTTCACAATTTTTACTCATTTTTTTGCTTTCTTTTTTAAATATTCAATCATTTAAGTGTGTGAAAGTATTTTGGTCAATACATAATGTTTTATAAAATACAAAGAGTTACAATTTAAAAATTATATTTCTCTTTGATGTTGTAGTTTAACCTAAATCTTATTCACTTCTGCACATAAAATATTCTTCGTACTTCTCCTTAAAATACTGATTATTCTTGCATCTAAATTTTAATTGTCACAGATCTTCACGCGTTTCTCGACCTCCAAATATTAATTTCCTTATAGAAATATTTTTTGTGAAAGTCCATGTTATATCGCTTCATCTCTAAGAATATCATTTTTTTAAATTTCTTTGTATGATTGC